GCATTGAAATACATTATTTATGTTAACATTGGCTAATTAAAAAATCTGTGAAAACTTATTTCAGAGTTTCTCCAACATGGGAATGCAGCCAGATTCCACGCTTAACGCTAAATATTTAATGGTTGTTAGTTTAATGTCACTGAGCGATATTACATTTTGTGGAGTTGTTTTTTTTGATGTGTTGATGTGAAAAAGAATCAGTTGGTGATCTTAATAATTAACGAGAGACGATCATCTGTTTGCCGGAGTAAGTTTAAAGGTATTTCATGTGCAAAGCAAAAACTAGGTCAGTGCTCATCAGCATGAGAGAAGTCTTGTCAGGTTGAATACATATGGAGATTGGATTAATAAAGATGACAAGGTAAAGGTCAAAGTACCATATTGAGCTCTGGGAGACACCCTCTGGCTTGAACTTGGTTCAGAGATTTAGCTGAGTTATAGAAACTGATCGAGATCACTCCGATTAAGTGGTGTTTGAAATATTGAATTGCTAATGTTTAACTTGATTCATTTCCCGAGAAGCAATATCTGAACTGAGGAAAAGGCTGCCTTAAGACAGAAAAAGATTCCTCCCTGAAGATCCCATTAAAATCCTGATCCAATAGGGTACAAATAAATATTTGTGTTGCAGTGAGGTGAAACTGTCTTAGTGTCTATACACTCACATTATCACACAGCCACATTTTCTGTTTTGTTTAATATCTGTGTACTGTATATAGTAAAATCATTCTCAGCTACATGATCATGTTTTTGTGAGATGTCCTGGACCTCATTGTTTAAGAGTCATTAATGAGGCATCACAGTTTGAAACTAGTCTCCTGTCCTTTATTCACAAGTTTACTTGTGAATGGGATTATTTATCTATTTCCTGCCATTCTGCAATATAATTATAATTCCTCCAGATTTGTTAATTGGCACTGATGTGCTTTATTGATTTTGATGACTGTATTAAAGGCTCTAGTAGACAGTATCAAAACATACATAGAAGAGGATTTCTGCTTTTACTACCCAAGCTTCCGTGCGTTAAATCATTTATATTTATTGAGTGAGGAAAAAAAAGAGGCTTTTGGCAGGGTTAATGAGGTTTTTAATTTAGAAAGTGCTTTTTTTGATCGGCTGGGTTTCTGAAACCTATCACCATGCTCAAGAGCATCCAAACTAGACTGATATGTATACCACCTACACATGGAAATACATTTTCCTTTGGCTGGAATGGAATGCACACTCTCTTGCTATCTGTCTACTCCTCCCTGGTAGCATCCTACACTGTAAATTAAAATGATGAGGGGTTTTGATAGTCGATGGAGAGAAATTATCTGCACTGGTTGGTGAGTCGGTAATTAACGAGAGGACATCAATTTAATATAATTACTGAAGGGGGGAAGATTAGGAGCAATTCATTTACACGGAGAGTTGTTAGGATGTGGAATGCTTTGCCAGGAGTGGTGGTCAAGGCAGAATCCATGATAGCTTTCAAGAGGGAGGGAACTAGATGTATATCTAAACAGAAGGGATTTACATGGGTGTGAGGAAAAGGACACATCTGTGCGCAATTGGCTGCCGCGTTTCGCCCACAAAATATCAGTCAATTCACTTTACAGTATATTCTATGAAACCCTTTGAGACGTCTCGAGGATGTGATAAGGCGCTGTATCAAATGCAAGGATTATTATTATGTTATATAGGCAGGTAAATAGAATTAAATGGATTGCTCTTTCAAAGACACAGTGGGCAAAACGGCTTTCTTCTGGGCCTTAAATTTCTACGGTTCATGACGCAGCAATCCTGCGTTACGTCACATGCTAGTAATAAGGACATAAGAAATGTTAGGATGAAATAAAGACCAAGGTCCATCAAGTTCGCCTTCCACCTTCCTGGCATGTACCATAAAGCAATGCCGAATTATAACTTCCTCTGTAACTAGATTTTTAATACATGGGTGAAGTGTGAGGAATATGCATTGCTTATTAAATTACGGCCTGTTTAGCAATGCAATACTTTTATCTTTTTCCTCAAATATTGCATTTACTAACAATCCATACATCAAAATACACCCTTCCTACAATTGAATTTGCTTAACAATTGATCAAGGAACCTTTTGTAAAATGAAGGACGCACTTGTTCCAGAACAAACATTGAGCTGACCAATGGCCCTGTTGTGTAGTTCAGCAGATATACAGGAAATATCTTCAACTGCAGCTAAATCATAAAATGTATAGGCAGGAAATAGATTGCTATTGAGATAGCTCGTTGTTGAAAAAGGACAATAAAAATTTCGATGAGGAAGTCCCCAGAGAAGAGATTTATTTGATAAGCCATTAATTAGCATCAGGAGCACAGGATTTCTGAACTGCTTGTTCTAACACACTGATTACTGAATAAAACAAGTCAAATGGTTCCACAATTTTTAACATGCCTTTCTGAATTACTCTGCTGCTGCAAATGTTTACTTGGCAGCAGTACGTTATAAGCAGGTGTTAATCTTTCATTTGATGTTAAAATAATATGAAAAGCTAGGAGAAGAATGTAATGAGTTTTGATGTACAAAATATTTTATTAGCCTAGCTGTTGTGAGGGTGTACTATGAATTGAGCTCAGGTCATATGCCTTGTACATTGCGTTCAGCCTTCACTCTGCTCTGTGTCCTGTAAATCCCAGTCACGTGTCATCGCACAGAGCTACGCTTCTTCAGACCCAAATTGCAGAGCCTTAAAAATGATCTTTCAAGTCTTAACTGTGCTCATTCTGTCAAGGTTGTCAATCATCTCAATGCTTCTCAGGATGTATTTTGGGTTCTGCTGTTAGTGTGATAGAAAGTAACCTTTGGGGTTTTGAGCAAAACTGGAGTTGGTGTAGACCGTATATCAGGCTGTATATGTCCGCTTTCTCTATTATATGCTATATAATTGAGTAAAAAATAAATGTAAACTAAATGTGCTAAGATAGAGAGTTTTTAAATTGATATCTCTTGTATTAAGTAGCTTCAAGTGCTCATTTGTGTAACCAGTACTATTTGGATTTTGAGTACTATAGCTGGTCTTTTTTATAAGAGAAACCTGTGGGTGGAATTTTCAGTTCAGTACAAGGCTTACTTACTTACTTACTTACTTACTTACTTACTTACTTACTTACTTACTTACTTACTTACTTACTTACTTACTTACTTACTTACTTACTTACTTACTTACTTACTTACTTACTTACTTACTTACTTACTTACTTACTTACTTACTTACTTACTTACTTACTTACTTCTCGCTAGAGTCATACAATAGAAAAATGCTGAAGAGTTTGAAGATGCTGGATTTATCCTAGTTATTTTTTCTTTGTAAAATTATCAGTGTGTAAGTGACCACACAAGCCACAGGCTGTGAAACTCCGAAGTTTCAGTATATATTGTACATGCACTTCACAGAACCTTGACTTGCATTATTGAAGGAGAAATAAGCTAGGTGTACTGTATCTGATTTCATGCTTTTAAAGTGGCACTGCAGCACTTCAAGCATATTCATTATATTCGATTTCTACTATAAATAAATTGTATGGCTAGTGTGTTCATAAATTATATTGCGTTGTGTGTCACTTGAAGTAAGTGCTCTTTAATGCATCATCATGCAGAGTATCTGCTACCTTTCCTCTCTAGCACATTTGAAATGGGACACAGCACGCTTTGGTGGGCAGAATTTTTTTTTTATCATCACTAAAACGTTTTTCTAATAAGCATCTATCTACATAGCACTGTGACCTCATTCTCTGGGGCCAAAGATAGTGCTACATGAGTGTGCAATGTGTGGATATTTGGTATAGAAGTCTAAAGTGGAGCTGCCGTGTTATGCACAGCTCGGTGACTTGCATTTATGTCCATTGGGAGATGGGTTATACTGCTATTAAACTTTAGATGTTGCACAAACACACGGACGTGTCAACACTTGATCTGTGCATTGGAAGTGAATGGCAGGACAGTTTTAAACCTGCGATTAATGTATTGTGAGTTCGTCAGTCAATCACCATTCTTAGATTCTTTTTTCTTAAAAAATTGAACATCTGAAAATCGGGTAAATGACTTTGCCTTGGAATCTGTGTGGAGAACGTGTATAGCCTGATAATAGCAGTAAGCACACTTCTTCGTAGTGTCTGTATTCTGATATCAGCATTGAGCAGCACTAAATAGCCTAGTATTTGCTCTAACACCTCTACATAGTCTGATATTAGCAGGAGCACATTTTAATTTGATCAGCCAATTGTCTGATACCTGCGGAAAACCATCACTGTGCTTCAGTGTTCCACGTATGTAAGCCTCCCGCACATGGAAATTTCCCTGTCTGGCCTCATATTAGCAGTGAGCATCTCTCTATAGAGCCTGATCTGATTTTGGCAGTGAACACCTCAGCTCTGTGATAATGGGTGAATGGAATACTGGAGATAATTCTGATAATTCTGACTGATTATTGTGAAATTTGTCATTAAATTGAATGTAACCAATAAACAGATGGCACCCCAACATATGGAACAACAGCAGGCAGGCACACTGTCAGCTGTAGTTGTATCTCAGTGGTAAGTGCTGTACCGAGCATCACTCCTGGTAAATACCTGCACGTTTTTAGCAGCCTAACAGTTAGCAGTGCTGAGGATCACAATAAGAATGGAGAAAAATCCATTTCCCCACACCGTAGCTTTGCTCCATACTCTTGGTGTTCACCCACTTGCTAACTGGGTCTACCTATCGCTTGGCTTGTAGTCTACTTTCTCTTGAGGGGCCAAAATGTTATGGAAGCTTCCCCATTGTTACCCCAGCAGCTAACAACAGTGCAATCCTGGGTGGGTTCAGACATACCCGGTCACGGTGGTTCAATGCTACATGAATGGTTTACTCATTGAGCTACCAGGTGGGAAATTTTAAATAGAAATGTCTAGCACTTCCACTTATTCGAGCTGCACCAGCCAAGGTTGACCTACCCCATTAACCGAGATGCATCCTTGTGCTTTTTTTTTCTCCTTAGATTCTCCAATCGAGAGAAGTGGGCGCAGACGCAGCATGCCTGGGAGCACACCGGATGAACACACTGCAATGGAAACGCCCATTTCCACACCTTTCCGCGTGACGGTAAAACTATTGCACATTTATCCACTTTACTCCCAGGCTGCATGCATCGTTGAGCATTTCTTTGTTTTACTGTAACTTTTTTTAATTTAAATCCCTTGAAATGTCTCATTCCGTCCATCCTTGAGCTCTCAAGGAGTCATTGAGCAGAACTAAAGTTTCATTGATGTCATTTTGTTTTGACATGTTTTTGAAGCAGTGAAAAAATTCAATTTTATTTAGAAAATACAAGTAAGCAACTGTTTATTTTTGAATTTTGAATTTCAGGCAAATTATCGTGTTAATCGTTCTTACTGACTAATTTTTTTATTGTCTCCTAGTAGGGAAGCATATGGGACAGTCCCTACCACAAGACTGTCTGAATACAGGCACTGTCTAGGCACAGGATAGGAAGTGCTGCATTTGTGTGGCTAAAGATAATGAGGATGCCAAGGACTTTCTCTCTCCGCTGTGTGTGTGTGGGGTGGGAGAAGGGCTTCTTTACCTGCTGTAAAATGTGATGGTTTTATGTTACAGTGAGTGGGGTTTAAGCTAATAGGACGCAGGGATCTGAAAGATGCTCTTGCAGTCTGATGATCAGAATGCAGTTGATACAAATTTAATTCTGGGGTAAATTGTGCTGAACGTAACAATCCTTGCATTTGATATAGAACTTTATCATGTCGCCGAGCTGTCTTAAAGCACTTCACAGAATATACTGTAAAGTGAATTGACTGCAAACTTTGTGGGCAAAACGAGGCAGCTAATTGCGCACAGTGGTGTACCACAAACAGTCGTGGATTTAGAGACCAAATTATTATTTATTTATTTATTTCGAAGGATTATTATCCTTGGAAAAGTGATCTGCCAATCAACTACCCGGGTTCCTACAGCTAGGTATACAGGTGTGTGGAGTAAGGAAACTTGCGTAATGTTTCATCCCGCCTGGGAATCGAATCCAGGTCCTCTCGCTTGCCAGGCAAGTGCGCTAACCACTACACTGCAGGACTCCACAATGTTAAACATGATGTTAAGCATAGCATGCCCAGCTTTACCTTCTATTGTCTTCTGACCACATTTTTCATAGTTTTCATCAATTACTTCAAATGATGGTCTAATGGGATCATCAAGCTACATACAGCACATCCTTCCTCAATCCGATTACATTGAACCACAATCATTTCTTAGCATGTCATACTTTAATATGTAGTCACAGGCAGATTGATTAAGAATCCTAATGACGGAGCTTATGCATAGCCATGTCCATCAAGCTATAATGGTCAAATGCCATGTTGAAGAATGCGCCTCTCAGTTTTGAATACGCACCTTTGATATCCCATTTTACAGATTATTTTTATGTCCCTTTGGCTGACTGCATCACATTTGCATCCAGCAGAATGATTTGTTTGTGATCGTGACAGGCAACAGTGCACATAAAACGCAAACTGGCCACAAAACTACGGTTTAACTTTGAATTCTTGAGACCGTTGAGATTATCTTTAATTCTTGGTGGAAACCTGGCCTGAGAGAGGAGTAATTTGTGGGCAGTAATTATGTGCATATTTACAACTGACCCCTAGGGGCAGTACGATCCGCATTCTCACATGCAAATCCATCATCCTTGGCAAGCTAAGCCATCCAATGTGAATTTACTACCTTACAGACAATTATTGAGGCTCCCTAACCTTTATTAAAGGATATGGCTTATAGCACAGGCAGTGTGGAGAATGGCAAGTACATCAAACGTACAGGAAGTCACAAGGGCAGCAAATATGGCCCAGGGAAGAGCAGAGCGATGGATTAGGATTTGATTACCCTCCTCACTCAACTGAGCAACTTTCAAAGGCTAAACTCAGGTCTCAGGTGGCCTAAAAAATAAATTGCCTCCCGTATTACCAGGGATTTGGAAGATTTTCTTTATTTAAAGTGAATGAATACCCTTAAAAAGGGAGGCGCAGATCAGCCCTGAAGGGAAAGCCAAGGCAGGAACTGCAGCAACAAAGTTTAAAAAAAACTGTACTCGAGCATTTGTAATGTGAGATCCCAATTGTGCAGGTTTGGGCAAGTTACAACGTTCAGTATTGCATGCCTTCAAACAAAAATCACCTAGAATTTGCTTGATATGGAGGCAATATTAATTGATATAAAATATTGCAACACATATATAACATCAGTCTCTAACCTGCACTTTATAAAGATTTTGAACAAAGTGGCATGAAAGTCAGCCATTGCAACCTTTAAAACGAATCTGCCTCGGATGGTGCAGAACACAAGTTCAGCTGTTAGTTCCAGCACATGTATCATTACCCGCAAAGAATTGACATCTCGATCAATGGCAGTTGGCTGTAGGCAGAACCTAATCAAGCATGATGTCGTAGGAGAAACGGGAAGATGAGTGGGTCGGTATCTGCCTGTGTTAGAGCCAACAGCTATAGGGCAATAACATGGCCAAATGAAAGATGTATATCTTGTTTGTTTCTTTTATCCTTTGGGTTCAGAATTCTCTGATATATGAGCATTGGCTTGTCTTGTGTCAGGCAAATCAGATAGTTGAACAGCAACATAGGGATATGCAAGACCAGAAGAGAATGTTGCCATCCATCTGGCTTATTTTAAAAAAATTTTAAAAGAAAATCACCAATAATGATACACTCCTATGCCCCTCACTTGAATTCTTTGCCAAATAATTCTCAAATTCTCTCTTGAATTTCATGATACAATCTGCCTCCACTGGCCATTTCACACACTCACTGGTATCTGTGTAAAATCATTTAATCAGAGCTGCCTGATCACCTACATGGTGTCTTGCATATGGTCACATCCCATGACTCCAATCACAAGATCATGAGATTGGTTTGGATGAAGAATGTACTTTGGCTGTTCCAGAATACCCACCTCACCATTTTCCTGTCGAGCTGTTTTTTTAAACAAGTGCAGTGTCCTAGACAACTTCTTCCAGTCATTAATTACCCTCTTTAAGGTTGGTCAGACAAGATTCACCCTTCCTCAACCCATGTTCCCTGTCTCTTATTAAATTATTTTTATGCAAATAATCTTCGATTTTCTTTCTGAAGGGAACAGAGGGGTATAGGAGAGGAGATTAGGAAGTTTGGAAGCTTGTGTGGAGTTTACACACTGGTAATAATAATAATCCTTACATTTTATATAGCGCCTTATCGTGTCTTCGCGACGTCTCAAGGCCAAATAACCTGTTTACATGCTGTATCATTCCATGTAATTTTATATTCAGTGATGTCCTTTAAAGATATCATGTTTATTATAATATAGTCAACATGGAATAATCTGATAAAGGCTGGATTTAATATTCCATGGATGGTACAGAGTAGCAGTAATTACTGCAGCTGTTGAAATATCGCCTGTGGGATCATACAACAATAAACAACACTGTACATGTTCATTGGCAGTAACCCATGGGATGTTTTGGGCATTAGAGTAAAAACAGCATCTTAACTATCCAGGATTCGTATTGTGGTGCCCAGGCTTATTAATTCACAACATAGATTCAGGTATTAAAAAAGTAATGCTTATTAGTAGTATCTCAGGGCCATTGAAATTAAACATAAATTAAAAATGAACTGAATTCTGGAATACTTTTTATTCCTCGTTGGATTATACAAATATTGACTTTAAATACATTTAATTGGTTATTTTATTCTCCTTGTTGTTTTTTGAACCTTCACCTTGAAGGGCACCTCACCTCACATGAATTATTCATTATGTGCATAAAACATCATTTTTCCCTAAAGTTTTTAATTAACATCTAGGCACACGTTAATATTGGAAGCATTGACTGCATTGTGTTGTACACTGTTCAATCTACAAAAGCTATTGCTAAAATTGATGCCATTCTTCACCTTTAATACAACAACTGAAATGGTTGAATTACGTTACCGTACATTCATAATATAGACAGTGTTTTCTATAACTAATTTGTTTAAGCTCTCTCTGCACTCCGAGATGTATTAGCACGCCACAAATTCCGATGTCTGATCCATATGCCATCTGCTATAAACACAGACCTGTTGTGAGTGGTCAGCTCTGCGCTGACACAAGCTAATAATATATTTTGGGGTATTTAAAAGCTGTTCTGCCTCACAGTGGTCATTTCTGGTTAAATATTGTATTTAATAGTCCCAGCTCCAATTATTTGCCTGCAAGAAATCAGGGTACTCCAGTTTTTGTGCGATTGTTTTTAATGTAGTTTGTGCTTTTACAAATAGAGAGTTGAGTTGCCAGTTGTCCCAAGTCACCCATGAGGCAGAAATTAATATTGATTTTAACTTAATTTTATTTATTTTTGTTGTGGAACAAAATTGATTTAAGTTTTTTTTAGATTTGAACCCATTAGATGTACATTGTCAACCATAGAAACACAATAACCAGAGAGAACTTGCCCTTTTTCCTTTCTTTGTGCATGAGTGTGTGTGTGTGGGTGTGAGTGCGTGGAGCAGCCCCAGACTAAAAGTTTTTAGTTTGTAGCCTGTGCCTTTTTATATTATTTAGTATCGCTTAATTTTTCTATACCATGCTTCTCTGAGAGAATAGGTAAGCAGTGTCAGTGCTGTTTCAGTGGCTAGCCAGATGTTTGAGACAGGCTCATCAGTCGCCAGCAAAAATATTAATAATAATAATCCTTGCATTTGATATTGAGCCTCATCACATCTTCGAGACGTCTCAAAGCACTTCACAGAAGTTGTCATGCCTGAATGTGTAAATCAATTATGACAACGGAATAGACTATCCGATCTACCTAATCCTTCTACTGCAACCCACATCAAAAGTTTATCGTTCTGCCCAATATTGCTAATATTTAACGGGGGAATTAAATGGCTGTGCATTGCTGTATTAGCATCACAATTTGCTTTTATTATCAAAACGTTTAAATATTTCATTCTTTGATTAAGTTCTGCTGCTCAATTTTATTTTTTAGCTGCTTGCAGTGAATCAACTCTCTTTATCCATCCTAAAATGGAACCACTAACAGCTTGTTTAGAAAATATTAC